CTGGTTGGGGTCCTATTTCTTTTCTTTCTCTTGTTGCTTTCTGTTGCTATTTCCCTGCTCAAACTGGTCATTATTAATAATAATAATAATAATAGATAGCATTTTTATAGCGCAAATCCCCGCTCAACAGCAAGCTCTATGCGCTTCACAATCTATACTATTACCCCAGCAGACCTGAGAGCATTCTGAAACAAACTCAACTTCCTGGGAAGCGTACAGTGCACGCTGCCATTTATAGGCGCCAAAACACTAACATACTGACGAGATCTTTTGCTGTCTATGACCTGGTACCCATTTCCACCGGGTGAAGTGAGGAAAATTTGTGTAAAGTGTCTTTCCCAAGGACACAACGTCGGGCCCGCGGCTCTTTACCTCTAACAAAAAGGCTGAGAAGTTTTTCATTGCTGTCGTTATCAATCCAGCAACAGCTGAGCTCTCGTCCTTCTGTCCAATGCCATGTAGTGATAAGTGCAGGTTTGCTGCAGTTGCTGTAATGTTCCATAGAGTGTGTTGTCTATGTTAGGTCTCGGAGGGAGAAGTGCAGCTTTAATGTTATTTAACAATGTTCAGTGAAACAGAGGACATTTTCAGCTATACATCACACCCAAAGACTAATTCACAAAATCATTGCTTTTCTATTCTATACGTTATCATCCTTGAATATGTTTGAAATTAACGGGAACATGAACAAATATGGGATTTGATGAAAGGTGTGCGAATTATTGACGACTGATTATTGTTTTGTGGTGTTGGTAATAAATGCAGTTGGAATGGGTGGCTGGAGGGTGCCACTGATACACTCTACATCTTCTCTGTCTATCTATAATTATAATAATGTAGATCATTTCTATAGCGCCCACTCCCGTGTGAACATACAGCTCTAGGCATTATCTATGGCTTAGGGTTTTTTTTGGTGATCTTGTTTTTTCACCAGCAGATTCTATTGAATTATTACAATTTATTGGTTTTTTAAAGTATTTTTCTACTCATGCACCCGTCTCATGTACACGTTTTATATACTTTTTTTCTAGTAGTATTTTGCATGCTGAACACGAATATGGCCTTCATTTTTGCTGCACATCAATAGTTATTGAGTTATTGTTTGAAAATAGTAATATTTGACTTGACTTTAACAACATGGGGGGTTTCAGGGGGGCCCTGATTTCACAATGATTTGATGTTTTGGCAATTAGGATTGATATATTTACTTGAAAACAATTGATTTGCAAGGGTTTTAGTGGTCATACGAGTGTTCTACCACAAAAATTATGGCAGTTTAGCCCTCAAATCAATGCATCTGTGTGTACCGTTTTTTTTTCCCTTTCCTGTCAGGATCTGGTGATTCACGGAATGTTTAGCAGCGAGGGCGAGTCTGTGGCGTTTTCCGACACCATCGACACAGTGGAGGCTAAAGGGTCGGTGGAGAAATGGCTGCTGCAAGTACAGGATATCATGCTTATGTCTATGAGGGACGTCATTGAGGAGTCCGTGGAGGTGAGAGGGGAGGGGGGAGAGGGGG